GGAAAGGCCTGAAGCCAAATGCGTCACCCTCACTGGACTCCATGTCAGCGGATGCGTCAACACATCATCATGCATAGTTTGCTTAATGTCAGAGGATGTGTCAAAACATCATCCTGTGCCGTTTGTTTTGTGTTGTTTTGTGTTGAAGCTCAGCGCCCAAGGGCCTAAGGGATTAAAGTTACACGCAACGCAACGGTCAAAAGCGACTACCACAGAAGACGTGAGTTCAAGCCCCAGCGACCCCCATCTCTTACCTCTTGGAGTGCCATCTCGTGGAGCAGGAACGAGAACTGGACAAGCAGAGGGCAAAGGTCACACCGCCAGGAGCAAGGCCTCCTTCCTCCTCCGGCCAGTGATGCAGGCCCCTGGCACGCCACAACAGGTCAAGGCCTCTCTCTAGCCGTGCTGGGCGACGTGGAGCCAGCCTGAGGGCCAGACACGGGAACTCCTGCTTCAGGATGTACCTGCAGAAAATGCCCCCCCCTTCACCCCCTAGGATTTGAGTGTGACTCAAAGGGGCTGCTGGACATCTCTTCCGGGGAGGAGGAGGTTCAGAGTTTGGGAGTAATGCTGAGCTCAACTTGACGCTCCACTGCACGCGGGGTGTGCAGATTAAGCGGGCCTGGCAGACAGCAAACGCACTCTTGATGATGACACAGCCTCCTCCCCTCCCCCAGCCCCGTGCCCCCTCCTCAGGCCCCTTCCCGAACTCAGTGTTGAGTTCAAAGAGATCATAGCAGCCCTGCGCTGGTGGCTCACACCTGTCATCCCAGCTACTCAGGAGGCTGAGCTCTGAGGATCATGGTTCGAAGCCAGACCGAGCAGGAAAGTCCATGACACTCTGATCTCCCATGGACCACCAGAAAATCGCAAGTGGTGCTGTGGCTCAAGTGGTAGAGCGCTAGCCTTGAGCTGAAGAGCTCAGGGACAGCACCCAGGCCCAGAGTTCAAGCCCCTGGACCAGCGCACACACCTGACCACAGTCCACACCCCCTGACACCCGCTGGAGAGGGTCTCCTCGCCAGGCCTCAATGCTGGGGTCTGACCGTGTGCTGGGGGCAGGTGAAGGCAGACCCCCATCCCACGGGTCGGGGGAGGGAGAAGTTTATCCACGGAAGACCAGCGGGGAGTTCAAGTGTCCATTTCCCATCGGAGATGATGAGTAGACCCACCAGTGTAGAAATGACGCACGAGAAAGTCTTGCACCACCATTTGGCTTTTATTAAACATACAGCATGAGAAACCAGAGTGCGGTTCCTGTGAAAATAAGACATCTGAGGGAGGTTTCTTCCACGGTCGCTGTGAGGGATCACACGTTCCAGAAGAACCTGGTCCCCGGCATCCATGCAGAGGATGCGGGACCAAAGGCCTGACCTGGAAACTGCGTCATGCAGCCCGCCAGAGATCCGGGGATGACCCGTCACCCAGCATGGACGGGACCCAGCGTCCATACACATGCATTCCGGGAACGTGTGTTTTACACACTGCATACCAAGTATCATGGGCCCCAAAGGGGTTCTTAGTCCAATGGGGTTCTTTATTGCCACTGAAAAGCAGGGGGGGGGAGATAATTTACAATTTCAGAGCCAAAGGTAAGCACGCAGCGCGAAGGCAATTTGCTTTCTGGCAAACGCCGTGGCCGATACTTGTACCCACGAGTCCCTGGATGCAGGTGGCACCAGGCGCCGGTGGCTGCCCGCCACCGAGGACGCTCTTCCGTCCCCCGACGCCGGATGCCGCTGGCACACAGCTGAACGGGAAGCAGCCAGGACTCTAAGTAGTGCAAATGCTTGAACACAAAATACATTCCAGCCTCCTCCTCGCTCTCATCTGAGTCTGTGCCCCTCCTCCCCCCGGCCCGCCCCCGGCTCCATGCAGCTTCCCAGGTTAAACACGGAGCCCATTTTAATGACATCTGTCCCCAACGTTCATAAAAAAATATTTTTAAAAAGGAAACAACAAACCGTAACAGGAAGGCTAACAGCAGATCAATACACAGAGGCTAGCTTGGAGTGAACAGACACATCACCCCGAAGCCTGGTGTGAACCCCTGAAGCGGGTGTGCTTAACATGTTCCCCACAGGTTACCCCCGCAGAACAAGGGAGCAGAAGACCGTGAGGGATAAGCCTGCTGCACCCGGGAAATCTAAGGGGGTGAGCAGGGAGCCCTCATGTGCCAGGGTCAATGCCAGCCAGGGAAAGCCACCAGAAGACAGGTCCGGAAGAAAGCACGACTCCATAGACCAGACACGCAGTAGAGCGTCAAGTTCAGCTCAGCGTTACGCCCAAGCGATTCAAGGAAACACCTGTCTTTAAATTCAGCAGTCTTCTTTAAATAGGGCATGGGAGGAAGGAGAAAAAAACCCAAAAAGGAGACTTGTCTATGTGGAACTACTGAGAAATCCATCTCGGGAAGGTGAGAAGTTAAGGGAAGGAGGCCACACGCGTGGACAGAACGGAGGACATATACCAAACATCGTGTCTCGTTACCATGGACAATAAAAAGTGAGTCAACTATCTTCAAAAGGGATCTTATGGAAAAAAAAAAAGTCTCGTTAAACTTTTAGCCTGCGAGCTAAACTTTACAAAGAGAGCAGGAGAAGAGAGAGAAAGAAAAATAAAAAATTTGGCTCAGAAATACACAGACATTACACAAGCTATCCAAGGAAGACAGCTCCAGACCCGAGAGGGGGTCGCGTGTCGCGATTCTTTTTGCATAGGAGAATGTGAGGTCACTTCATTTGCATGATACTGCAATTTTTTTTTCCAGACGGAGCGATGCTATTGGGTACTTGTGAGAAAGAACTTGGGGACAGAGGCGGGCTTTCTCACGTGTGGTCCAAATCGGTCTCCCAGTGGTGTTGAAGCTGTTTGCAACCAGACCAGACTGGTCAGGACGATGGACGAGACTGTCTGTGTTCATAAGTCGGGGGAGGAAATGAGACTCGGCCAGCCACGTGACCAGCAGGCTTGAAAGCGGATCTGAAGGACCTGAGAATCGTACCTGGTGAGGACGGTACCGGTGGACAGCTAGTTGTAGATTGGCTTTTTTGATGAGGTCGTACTGGTGTGCGGGTCGGATGAGAGGAACATTGGACCGGACTGGGGGAGGGAGGGGCGGTGCTTCCCAGGGAGACAGACAGATTAGGAGGGGAAACATAATAACCAACACCCCCAAATCAGAAAACATGGCTAGGATGATGATACAGAGAGACAGGCCTTCCCCATCCACTTTCATTGGACGTGGATGAGACACCCAACCTCACCTACCCCACACCCCAAATTTCCCAGATCTCCTTGGGGCCGGAAGAGATGCATCCAGAACAAAAAGCCCAGTCGACCGGTCTCTAACTTGGAGCCAGGCTGAGCCCTGAAGTCCAGGATCCCCACTGCCCAGAGAGGAGCCCCTGGCTAGCACGTGGCCCAGACTCCGCACAGCTGGGCACGCGCAGCCGGTCCCCACCTGGGTGCCAGGGTGCTAAGTCCTTGCTTGATATGGGAGAGAGAGATGTCATCTTCTAGAGAGTCCCACAGCAGTGCCCGATAAACCTACAGTCGATTTGGGGAGGATTCCCGGGTTTCTAACTGCAGGGCCATGGAGCGCCAGGGCTGCCAAGCACCCCAACATCTGCTCAGGAGACAGCTGGCAAGGCACACCCAACCTCAGGGCTCACCACGCTCTGGGTGTCCTGGGTTAAACCCCAGTCCCTCGGTGGGAGTGAGACTGCTCTCCAGACACAAGGCATCCTCTCCCATGCTAGAAACCCCAACACAAGCAAGCTGCTCGCTTAGGAAAGCGAGGTTCCTTTTTTTGGCGGGTGGTGGGGCTTGAACTCTGGGTCTGGGCGCTGTCCCTCGGCTCTTCGGCTCAAGGCGAGCGCTCTACCACTCAAGCCATAGTGCAACTTCCGGTTTTCTGGTGGTTCACTGGAAATAAGAGTCTCATGGACTTTCCTGCCCGGGCTGGCTTTGAACCGTGATCCTCAGATCTCAGCCTCCTGAGTAGCTGGGGTGCCAGGCGTGAGCCACCGGCACCCAGCTTCTTTTTTTCTTTTTTAATGCAAACAATACCATTTATGCTCCAAGTTCCCTCTCCACAAGGTTGAAGTTCTGGCCTTAATAACCATCACCTGTGAGTTCAAAGCTCTCCTCAAACTCTTGAAATGCTAGGATCACTGGAGGGAGATCTCAAACCCAGGGTCTACTGCCATCTTCTCCCTGACTGAGAAAGCCATGGAGGGGGGGGGGAGGGTTAGAGAGGGGGGAAATGGTGGGTTGTTCTAGAAATAAATTGGAGAGAGAGGTACAGACCCTGAAATGGAAGACAACAAGAGCAGATGAACTGGCGCATCGTTCCAAAGTGGCAGGGGCCATCCCCAGCCGGCACGTCACCTCATACAGCTCAAGAGCATCTTTCACTTATTCATCCCCATACGACCAATCCTCAGGCCTGAGGAGCCTCGCCTGGCTGTCCCGGCCTGGGAAAACCCAGCGCGTCGTGGGTAAGGGCCGACTCCTCACCACACCACTCCTTGTATTTCTTCTCCTTGTATAGTTTTTTTTCCTCCAGTGTGTTGCTCTAGGGCTTCTCCGAAGAGTTCCTTTCCCTGCTGAAGACACACAAGATCTTCACATGGAAGAATCGTCGGCAACCAGAGAGAGAGGGAGAGAGAGGCCATGTCCCGTCTGCTTCCTAGACGACAGCCCAGGAAGAGTGCCGACGGGGTGGCAGGTGGCGGGTGCTGGGCTCCGGCTCTCCTGCGGGGCCACGGGGGGGTCAAGTCACGTGTCAGGCCTGGTTACAGCTGCCTGCCTGGCCGGTTACATTTTTTTGGGACATTCCCCGGCCTGGCCAACCAGACTTCCGGAAGACAAAGCATCAGTAGTCTACAGTCCCACAGGACCGCCCTGAGGTGAGGTCACTGAGATTTGATTTGTAGCATGGCGAAAGCATCAGTAGTAAAGAAATCCAGTGGACAAGCACACGTTTTTCTCACACACACACACACACACACACACACACACATACACACACACACGGGTCTTCTCCCCCCCCACCCCTGTAGAAATGCCATTAAAAAGTCCAAAGGTGCTGCTGGGGTTTTCAGGAATCTATAACCTATAGATTAAAGACGAATCCTATAACCTGTAGGAATCTGCTCAGGACAGAGACCGAAGCACCTGGTTTGGAGCAGGAGCCGGGTCGTTAGAATCCACGCTGTGGAGGACAGCGCTCTGGTGCGGCATTGGCACCCCGGCGAGTCACTTCCGGCTCTGGTCCTCTGCTCCAAGTGTCTCTCTTTCTCTCTCTCCTCCATCTCTGGCAGTAGAAGTTTGGGTCACAAGGACTTGTGAATTACAGCGACACCTGAGGGAAAGAAAGTTATCTTAACTCCGCCACAGGAATGAAGGATCCCTGTTGAGTTCGTGAATTCTGTTAAAGTCCACAGGAACGGGCACTCGTCTTACCAAATAATAAAAGGCCTCTGGGCTGGGGCTGCCAACACTACCAGGTGTTTCTGCCCTGCCGGGCCGGGCCCTAGGCAAGTCAACTGGATCCAAAGGCCCTCCAACGCTCCAGGCAGATGGTCACACCCCACATATCATAATGACTCAGATTCCCGGGCTTCCAGGTAGGCTTAACTATGCTGATACCACCAAAGCTGCATTACTTAGGAGAAGGGATGGGTGATTCACATCTCCTTTCAGAAGACAGCGGAATGAACTGGAAAGGAGAGTAGACTGACTTCACGGAAACGCAAACTCTAGATCCCAGTCTAAGTGCTGCTACCCACCCTCCTGAGTTCCCACCCGAGTTGACATCACCAAGCTGAGGAGCCCTTCGAAGGGTGGAAGTTCTGGTGTGCGTGTGTTTGGCGCTGCTAGGGTTTGAATGCAGGGCCTCGTACTTGCTAGGCAGGTACTCTACTGCTTGAGCCACATCTCCAGCCCTTTTTTTGCTTTTACCACTTTTCACATAGCAGTTTTGCTTTTTGCCTAGGTCTGCCTGCACCTCGGTCCCTCTCGTTATGATTTCCACACAGCTGAGATGACAAACGTATGCCCAGCTTCTTCCTGGCCAAGACGGAAGTGTTGTGACCTTTTCACCCAGGCCACCTTCCAACAACAATCCTCCTAACGTCAGCCTCCTAAGCGTCCAGGATTACAGGTGTGGAGCCGTTATCCATTGTGCTAAATCGTTTTTTTTTTTCCCCCATGAACTTCCACTTAACTGTAAAAAGTAGTAAGAATGCTTCACTATGAAAAAGTGAGGAACTGGAGAACACAAAGAAAAAAATCTCTAATCCTTTCATTTGAATAGAAGCACCATCATCTTTTTGGAATATTTCCTGGCTTCTGGGCACAATGGCAATCATTTCCCAAGTGGCGTCCGGCGCCAGGCAGGCCTTGTGGTCAACGCTGTACACTTATTGTTCTGTTTCTCTCTCTCTTTCTCTAACTCAGCCCTCAGATTTCATGAGTTGAATGCCTGGCTCAGCTCCCAGGGCTAGTGGCAGAGCTGACCGCAAAGTCCATGTCCAGAAGCAGTGGCTGTCCGGTTTACACACACACACACACACACAACATAGCACAAATGGCACATGCATTGTTACATACTCCCCTGACCGCTCCATCTCCATCTCCAGCATCTCCCGTGCTTTTCACTGGGTAAGCATTTAACCGGGACTTCACCATTTCCCTACTGCCAAACATTAAGTCATTCTTGGGGTTTGGTATGTGTGTGGGGGTGAGGCGGGCAGGGGGGGTGGGGGGGGACGTGTTAGTTTAAAGTCATGCTCTTTCAGCCGTGAATCTTTGTGTTTCCGAGAAGTTTCCTCTGTCTTCACTTGGTCAGTGGATTTGAACACAAAACTGCACGTGTGTCTGTCTCCTTCGGGTCTACCTCTGGAGTCGATAATGAAGAAAAAGCCATGTGTAGGATGCCCATCGGGTCACACCGAAGCAGGAAAACACCTGCTTTGCAGTAGGGCACCTGCCTAGCAAGCCTGAGGCCGCGTTCAATCACCGGGACCCTTAACCCCAAATCAGCAAGCTCACAACCCCACACCCGGCTGCAGGGGTGGGTGGGGTCCGGGACCCTGCTGGTGTAGCTCCGCCCAGGGTGGGAGGGACCTGGGATGCCGATCTGCATGGATCCGCCCAGAGTGGGAGGAGCAACAAGCCCTAATCAGCATAGCTCCACCCAATACCAAAAGCACTGACCTGCGTAGCTCCGCCCCGTGCTCATATTGGTGGGCAGCAGTGTCCACTTGTCGGTGACCGGGTTGTAGTACTCCACCGAGGCCAGGTTGCAGGAGCCGTCATCCCCTCCGACCACGTACAGGAGCCCGTTCACTGCGCACACCCCTGGGGGCCAGCAGCACCAGGGGTGTCAGTGGAAAGCCCCAGGGGGGACCCCAGGAGGAGCTGGGGCCCCGGAAGGAGGGGGAGCTGGGACCCCAGAAGACACATTGTCATCTGACAATTGCATCCTGACCTCAGAGCTGGTGGAAATGTAATTACCATTCATCAAGACTTTCAAAGGCCATAGTCCAACAAATTGTGTACATTTTTTTTAAAGTTAAGGGACTGATGAGGTGATCAAAAATGGTTATGGTCAGTGTTGGGAGAAAAACTCTCAGAAGTGGAAGATGGCTCAAGTGGTAGAGGGCCAACCTTGAATGAAATCAATAAAATCCTGTAAATAAATTTAGTGTTGTTGTGAAGATGTTGGTAGTTAACATGCGTTTTTCTTAAGCACCTCATAAAGCAATAGAATAGAATGGTTCACTTTTGTCATTGAGTTAAACAGTATCTATATGTGAACATACACACATTTACATCAGAACATACTCCTCCCAAAGCCCCTGGCTTTGGGGCTCCGGTGGCTTAGGGTTTATCACATGGGGCAGAGGCCAGGGAGGAGGTCAGAAAGCCTCCTCTGTTAATACTTCCAACAAGTCAGCTCCAAATGGGCTTGGCAAACACACACCATGAGAATAAAGGAAATAAGTCCGCCTGGAAGTCGTCTGTGAGACTTTCTAGGCTGGGAAGATGGGCCAAGCGAACTTTCTTCCAGAGCAAGATCGATTACAAAGGACACAACCAAAAAGGCCGAGTTCTAAAAGGAAATTGTTTGAAATATCTGAGCTCCGAGAAATATAAACCTAAATACTCCAGGAAATCATTCCATGGGAAGTAACAGAAATAACAAAACAAAACAGGAGAAGGGAAGGAAATATAGCAAGTACAAAGCCGAGGATAAAGGGGTTCTACCAGACAGAGGTAATATGGAGAATAGAGGAAGTGGTTTTATTAGAAACAGGAAGTACATGAGAATAAAGGAAGTGGTTTCACCAGAGACAGGAAATACAGAGAGGAGGAAACACATGAGAGACAGGAAGTACACAGAAGGGGTTAAAGGAAGTAGATCTACTAGAGAATCCATCGGGATTCTGGCTCTCCCTACAAGGAAGGAAATGAGGCTCGCATGGGGGCGAGAGGGGTTTGTCTAGTCCAGAGGCAACAAAGAAAACCCAAGTGGCATGGTCTGGCTTGTGTCCAAGAGCCTTGTGCTCAGCCACCAGCAAAGCCACTTGGCAATGGGGCAGGTGGTGGCCAGACAGAGGGCTCTTCTCATCTGTAGCCATCTGGGTACCGTGACAGTCGACTTCCCTCCCTGGAGAGAAGGGACCCTTCTGTGCTAAATGGCGGCTCCCCGTGATGAGCTTTTTAGATCCCAACGATCTCAAGTGCTCCCTTCCCCTAACCCAAGGCCCACTCCGCTCAGTTCCAGGCCCTGTCCTTGTCATTTTGAGCGAGCATCTGCAGGGAGGAAGGCCACACACCCCCCTGCAGGTAATACCTGCATTACGCATCGCGTTACCTGCGTTACGTCGACACATGTTCATGTCGGCCACCTGCTTCCAGGTGTTTGTCCCCGGGTCGTACACTTCGACGCTCTTCCTCACCAACGGCCCGTCGTGACCACCGGTGGCATACAGCTGTCCGCTGAGCACTCCGACCCCTGCAAGGCAGAGTGCACAGGGTCCCAGCCTAGGTCCAGTGACCTGAGCCAGAAGCCAGGAGGTGTAGGCACCCATCCCGCAGGGTGACCCAAGAGTCAGTGCCCACGTCTGACATGCTGCCTGCATGTCAAGACTGGCAGCCTTGCCGGGTGCTGGTGGCTCACGCCTGTCATCCTAGCTACTCAGGAGGCTGAGATCTGAGGATCTCGGTTCAAAGCCAGCCCGGGCAGGAGAGACCGTGAGACTCCTATCTCCAATAAAGCAGCAGAAAACCGGAAGTGACGCTGTAGCTCAAGTGGTAGAGCGCTCGCCTTGAGCTGAAGAGCTGAGGGACAGCGCTCAGGCCCAGAGTTCAAGCCCCATGACTGACCAAAAAAAAAGACTGGCAGCCTGGAGATATCATTAACACAAAGCAAATGCAATCTCATTTCTAGTAGTATCCTGTATGAATTATCCTACAGGCCAGGCGCCAGTGCCCTCCACAGTTGTAATCTTAGCCACTCTTTGGAGGCTGAGAATGAGAGACTCGAGGTTCGAGGTCAGCTCAGGCAGGAAAGTCGGCCAGATTCAATCACAACCGAAGATGTTGGGCGTGGTGGGATACATCTGGAGCTCCAACTATGCAGGGGTGAAGGGCAGCTTAAAAGAGGAAGATGGTAGTCCAAGCACATGCCAGGGCAGGGAAAAAAAAAATAATAATAACCAGCACAGGAAAGGGCTGGGTGGTTGAGCCTGTGCCTAGCAAACACGTAAGACCCTAAGCTCAGCACCACCACGTAAGTAAAGAGAACATGTACGCGCACATATTTGGAGAGGCATGACACATAAAGCACCAGTGGTTATTTCTGCGTGGCATCATTACCCTTGTTTTCCCTTTTTTTTTGGGGGGGAGGGGAGCCTACTATTTATAGTGCATCATTTCCCCAAAACATTGTATTACTCAGCCTTCTATTCACCCAGTAAGAATGAGAAGCTGAGACTAGGGAGCCGAGGTCACCACCACGGAGACCTTCCCGGTGTCACACCAGGGGCCTTTGTGTTTTTCCTCTCCTCGTCTCTCCCTTGGTGGGGACAGCTCACAGCCTTAGTGGCCTCACCGACCAGTCCCAGATCCTTCTGGGCAAGCCAAGGAGACGAGGGCCCCCCCACACAAAGGAGGATGGCTCTGCTTCCCCTCTCTGGGCCTCAGTTTCCCCTTTTGTAGGGGGAGGGAGGTGGGATGGCCCGGTAGACCCCTTAGACAACCAGCCCTTCATGAAGAGGCTGCATCCTGGCCTGTGAACCAGAGGTTGCTGCAGTTCTCCTGAAGGAACAGCAGAGGGCGCTGTCACACCAACAATGGCTAGAAATCAGCAGGTTCTGGAGGAACTTTGCCTCTCCTGGGGACCCAGCCTGCAGCCCTGACACAGACAGGGGACCCAGCCCAGGCCAGAGGTCAGAAGGGGATGCCCAGCGGCCAGCAGAGACAAAGCCGCCGTGGCCGGTGGCGTGGGCAGGTCGAACTGGCTCGGCGGTGCCCCGATGCTGCTGGGATTGTTCAGGAGCCCCGTCAGGGTCCCCTCCTCCCCTGCTTTGTCTCCCCCTCATCTCAGAGGCCCATGGGAGGGGTCTGAGTAAGACAGCAGAGGCCTTGAGCCTGCCGGGGGGTGGGGGGGGACAGGAGAGGGGGGCGGGAATGGAGATGGAGTCTCAGTCTGTGGGAATGGGACTCAGACAGTTTATAGAGTGCAAAGAACCAATCCAAGAGAGAAAACCCTTCCAGCTACTAATACTATGACCTGCAGCCATTCCTAGAACCACACGCTGTAACCATGACCAAATCTGTAGCCAGAACATGACCCTGGTAAGACTATTTCAGCCTTTGGAGCTACGGGAAAACTAGCCAGAGCGAGCCGTGAGGAGGGTGCATCAGGACACGGTCTGCCACCCAGCCGCGTGGCAATCCTTCACCATCAAAGAGGTACAGGCGGGCCTGCTGGGTACCCGTGGCTCATGACTGCAATCCCCAGCTCATCTGGAGGAAAATCCATGAGACTCTCATCTCCAATGAGCCACCAAAAAGCCGGTAGTGGGGCTGTGGTTTAAGTGGTAGAGCACCACCCACCCACAAGAGACACACACACACACACACACACACACACACACACACACACACACACACACACGCTGTAGTCCCCAGAGACACTAGGGGTGAGATGCACTAATGGGATCTTGCAGGGTCCCGGGAAAGGAGGGGGAGGGGTCTGAGTGGCGGCGTGGCTGCCACCTGCGCCCCGCGTACCTGCCCCGCTGCGGCGGGTGCTCATGTCGGCCACGTAGGTCCATTCGTTGGTGGCTGGGTTGTACTGCTCCACGGTGCTGAGGCACTGGCGTGAGGCGCCGTCGTAGCCCCCGACGGCGTACAGCTTCCCTGGAACACAGTGAGCGGCTCAGGCCGCGTCTGCAACGCACTGGGGCACACCTGACCTCAGCTGGGGCCAGGAGCTCTTCAGAAGCCACCCTGAGCCTTTCTTCTCCTTTTTTCTGTCGGTCATGGGGTTTGAACTCTGAGCCTGGGCGCTGTCCCTCAGCTCTTCAGCTCAAGGCGAGCGCTCTACCACTTGAGCCACGGCACTAGTTCCAGTTTTCTGGCGGTTCACTGGAGATAAAAGTCTCACGGACTTTCCTGCCTGGGCTGGCTTTGACCCATGATCTTCTGATCTCAGCCTCCTGAGTAGCTGGGATGACAGCCTGAGCCACCGGTACCCAGCTGTGCACACACTTTTAACGCAATGGACGTTCTGGCTGACCCCCACAGCGGGGAAGGTCAAGGGGTCAGCACTGGACATCCCACTGAACTTCCGCACGTCTGTGAAATGCTACGTCTGAACCACCAATGATCTGAGGAGTGGAGCTACAGAAGAGCACTGTACGAGGAGTCAGAAGACCCGGGCTGAAGCGTGGCCTGAGCTGGGTACTAGCATCCTCCCCTGGCGCATCCATGAACCCCTCTGGGACTCAGTTTCTCCTGGGTCATGAGACCCAGGTCTCGCGTCCCTGCAGACGTGGCCTTTCTCACGAGTGAACTCGACCACGTAGCTGAAGGCTCAGCGCCAGGGCAGACAGAGGACGTGGGGCAGGGCCAGCCGCCACCCCCGGCCACCTCCTTACCCTCCACAACGCCCACGCCCACGCTGCTCCGCCGCGTGTTCATCGGAGCCACGAAGAACCACTCGTTGGTCTTGTAGCTGTAGGCTTCCACGGACGCCAGGCCTGGGTGACAAGAACTCGGTGAGATTCCCATGGTGTGGGCCTCCCCGCTGCGTGGCGTGGGAGACAGGGAGGAGGCGGTTCTCTGGGCACCGCTGGCTCGACACACCTGCTCTGTCTATCTATGGGGACTGGGGGAGTGAGGGGGGGGAGAAGGCTTGAAGACATGACTGGCACAGGTGAGCTTCGAGAGGGCAGGGTGACTGGCACAGGTGAGCTTCAAGGGGGCAGGGTGACTGGCACAGGGGAGCTTCGAGGGGGCAGGGTGACTGGCACAGGTGAGCTTCGAGAGGGCAGGGTGACTGGCACAGGTGAGCTTCGAGAGGGCAGGGTGACTGGCACAGGTGAGC